AAGCGGGCAAAGTAAAACTGACTATTGGCAGTAACTCTGAATCTGCGAACTTGAACTCGAAAGGGAAGAAACCAGAGAGTTTAGCAACTGGGTCTGCGTTGAATGGGTTCAAAGCGATCAAAGCAACAGTTTCCATTAATGGGTTGGTCAAGAATTGTAAAGAAAAGAAGCATGAGCTTGATAACCAGTCGACATTGGAGGATTCTGAAGACGAACTGTGGAAGAGCGAGGTCAATGGAACAGAACTAGATTCAGCAGTAAAGAGGAGGTTCTCAGATTCTGAGATGAAGTCAAATTGCAAGAAAGGGAAGTTCAAGTGTACTACTTGCAACAAGATCTTCCCTTCGTACCAAGCTCTGGGGGGCCACAGATCTAGTCATAAGAAGCTGAAAGGCTGCTCTGCTTCAAGAAACGAGAGCAGCGAAAACAGCATAGAAACAGACCTCAACAATGGGTATGTCATCGAAAAGCAAGAACTTATTGGCTCTGTTAATTTTGAGAATGAGGAAGAGATAATTACAGAACCCAAGAAGAACAAAGTACACGAGTGTCCAATTTGCCTCAAGGTTTTTCCATCCGGCCAAGCTTTGGGTGGTCACAAAAGATCTCATTTCGCAGCTGAAGGGTCACTAGTACTTGAGAAACCAGTTCAGGAAATCAGAGACTTTCTTGATCTTAATCTTCCAGCTTCTGCAGAAGAAGAAAGCAACAGTCAAGTGGAGAATTACCCCCCATGGTGGGTGGTACAAGGCCATCATCATCATCACCACCCCAAGCAAGAAGCACTGGTTGGCCTCCTATCTAACTGATGATAAAGTCATTTCAGATTCCCAAAAGCTGTATAGAACAAGTTCCTGCATTTATTTCATTAATTCTTTCGAGGTACTTCTTCTCATCCGATATTTTTCATCATCAGTCAGTTCATAAAAGGACGATGAACCCGCAGTTTTTTAACTTTGCTGATTTTTTTTTTTTTTGGGTTGGTAATGGAATTACTGTGATATCCTGTGCTGTGTCCATGGAATAGGTCTCATTGGAACAGACTGAGCATTATACATTTCTGTCTTCACATGTACCTTTTTCCCCCCCTTTTCTGTATGAAATTCCAAAAGTGACATGGTTGAGAGGTAATTATATTTTCTTGGCATCAAAGAGAAATGAATGAGGTGTTGAAAAAAAACTGGGGTATGAGATTTGTAGATAAAAAAAAGGTAGATATTTCATATAATATATATACACATAAAGGAGGCATGTGAACCAGCTAAAGGTGGTTGTTTAGTCACCTACCATATAAACCTGACCACCCATCTCATCTCTTTCACTTGGCACCCAAGTGGTGTGTTATTAAATCCTTCTCGCTGATCACTATGTGCTCTTAATAGTAATTATCGTAATTATTATGTCAAGACACTTGGACACGTGGCTGCTCTGGACCACTGGTATGTGTACATATGAAACTCTCAGTCTAATCGCATACTGGACGCAAAGTGATTCTTTCTTGCTAAAAACCTCGCAAATGAACAAATGTGACTCTTTTTTTAAAATTAAAAATATTGGAATATACCATAAAGCATAGTGGGTTTTGGGGTAAACGGAAATTGGGATGCAAAAATTTGTGATTTAATTGGATTGGTTGTCTATTTGTTGGTGAGTTGTATCTTCGGTTTCCCACTTTCAAGATGATTAGAAATGCAAATGCCCATTCTGACATAAATTAGCAGAAAATTAGGGTCACGTTTAATTACAGGATAATTAATGGCAATAATGGGTGTTTGGCATGCCATCAAAGAATCACTTTTAGTTTTTTGAGATAAAATTCACAAAATCACTTAAAACAAATGCTTAATACTTAGTTTTTTTTTTTTTGGGGGGGGGGGGGAGAAGAAATCGGCTTCAGGAGATGCGGCTGTGCTGCCTTGTCAACTAGTTCAACCAACTAATTGCTGCTGAGAAAGCTCTCCAACTTCGCACGTCCGTGGCTAGGCGGCAATTTCGGAGGATATTTTGGTCATTCAATGCTCCATCCAACCTTTTCTAAAATTTTATGGTTTTTTTTTTCACACAAAAAAAAATTCATATTCTTTAAATTAATTCCAAATCCATTCATATTTTTAAAGTATTTTTTGGCACATGGGAAACATATATTTTTAGGTCGATGAAACATGTTTTTAATTCTAACATGTTTTAATTGAAAATTAAAACTAAACTAAAGTTTAAGACTTTAAGTTAAAACTAGGGAAAAAATTTCAGAGTTAAAAAAATTAATTTAGATGAAATTTTTTTATATAATAAATAGATTATAATAGAATAATATATAACAATTATACGAAATTATCTTTATTGTTCTGTTTATTATATTTTGTTTGGATTTCTTCAGATTGGTTCTGCGTTTGGATTTATGTGTGTGTGTGTGTGTATACTGTCCTTTCCCCTTTAATTCACAAGCCAGGATAAAACATGGCATATATCAAATTAATTTTTTAAAATGAATTTCTCTATCAGTTTTAAATAAATTATTATAAACAACAACAATAATAATATAGGCCTCCTTGGATGCTTGAAGGATAACAATAATAACGAAGTTTGGAAAATGACGGTTCCCCTCCGTGGTCGTCAATCATGACTGTGTTTTTAATTTTATTTTTCTGGCACAACCTTAGAGTAAGACACGTTTAAGGATCAATAATTGAAATTAAAGGCTAAAAACCACAATTAGTCAGCTAAATTATTGAGTCAATGCCTTTGGTTTATTATTTTTATATCTCATTGCAGCATAACTATAATCAGTATATACAAACACATATATAATTTAAACTAGGCGAACTCTAGCTTTTCTATTCATTTATCGTTTGACAATTTTATTGTCACCTATATATAGTGCAAAAATATTTAAACTATCTACAAGGAAAAAAAAAACTTTTAAACCATCTGCCACATTACATTATGGTCCTCGTTTTATATTTTTGGTACATTTATCATGTAATTAATAAATAATTTTGTGAGCAATTGATCAGGATGTGATCCTTGTTCTTTGAATTGGCCGTTGGGCTAATAGCTTATTATTATAATGTAGGAATATAATAAACAAAAAATTATTAGTTTAGCTATTAGATTTTTATGGCTATTATTATTATTCTGTGGGATTATATTATTAGAGGATAATTACACTACTTTAAGTTTTTTTGGGCTGGCAAAAACCATGTTTTTGGTGCACATACGGCTGAAGGCCCATTCTCCACTCCGCAGCTCAAAAGTCTGCATCATCACCACTGTATCTCCCAAATCCAGTTGGAAAACCCTTCCTCAGGATCAGCAATTTATTTCTTATTTTATTTAATTAGTAGAATATAATCTGTCCAGTGTACTTGAAAAATCTAAAGTAATTTAAACAAGTGGTAATATTTTATTAAGGCTCTAAATTAAAATTCTTTTTACATGATAATAACTTCTTCCTTTTTTTGGTCAAAAACATGATAATAACTTCTAAGTTTAACTGATTGATACTTTTGACATTTTGGCCGGAAAAAATATACAAATTAATTTCATTTTGATTGTTTTGGATGTTTTGCAAATATTTCCTGTCAACAATTCTTCAATAGATATAATAAATAAAAATTCCTAAATCTTAATCGAGGGGCCTAATCAGCCATTTTTAAAAATTCTATAAATAATTTCCTTTAGAGCTGCCAGTCATAGTCATGGCGGCCTGGAAAGATTGGTCTGAGACGGATTCAGAATCAGAATGGTTTCCTGATTGTTGTCATAATGAAGCTGTCAAACATGAGAGTATCAAGCTACCCTTGTTCATCTTCACCTTCTATTTTATACATCCGTCTCCGTAATACACATGAAAAGGTGATTCTCGTAATAACTATTTAAACATTTCAATATTTAAAATCACTTTTTTTTTCCCAAAATCTATTGTCCTCAAATTTTTTGTGTTAAGCTTAAGGTATTCGGGAGCTTTAGTGCTGCTGTGACACAAGACCCTCCTTGCGTACTGCCAAAGATGGAACTCCTCACTAAATGTCTAAAAAATTAAATTAAGTGATGACTATATTTGTGGTTAAAATTTATTTTTCTAATCACTTTTGCTAATGCATGCTTATCACTAGGCTCTAAAATACAGTAGAGTTAGAGAGTGTTTCGTTGAATAAAAAATTACTTTTAAAAATTTTTTTTTATGTAAATCGAAATAAAATTCATCTCACATATTTATTTTTTATTTTGTATTCTATAAAATTATTTTTAAAATCATAGTTTGATTTTCATTCCAAACACTCTTTTAACCATTGCTGTATATAGTGTAGTTTTATCAACATTTCAGTGATTTCGCAGACTGAAGAAAGAGAAGCTAAAATCATAAACAAAAATACGAGCTCTTCCAATCAAATTCTTACTAGGAGTGGCAGCTAGCTTAAAACCCACATTTCAAAAGGCCGGAGTCCAAATGAGGCGGTAAATAATGCCTGAATTTCTCAGTTTCTCATAATTAATAAATTATTTTCTCTGGTATTAAATATAAAAACTAGTTAATTAATTTGAGTAGATTAAAAAAATAAGTTATATTAATTATTTGTAATAAATATGTACTGTCTTTTTTAAAATATCTTTACTAATAAAATTTATCTGTTAAAATTATTATTATTATTATTATTAGGATTATATTAAAAAATAAATAAATATAAAAAATAAAACAAATTAAAATTTTATATTTAAAATTAAAATTAAAATTAAATGAGTTTTTATATCATGTGACAGACTTGTTAGTGGTTAAGAACCGGAGGCAGTACATAGCTACTCGCGCCCAATGACTGGGAGTTCAACTTCACTGATTTCTGCGTGCGTGAATGTGTATATAGATAGATGGCTCGGCCGTGATCTATCTCCTTCATGAACGGCTGAATGCCATAGGGGCTCTGCTTCATCACTACGACGCTCGGACGCAGTTTAGAGAAACCTCGCTCTTGCTCTTGCTTGATTCATATACAATCGTCTAAATGCACCCTCCGCCGTATTCTCCCCTCTTCCCTCAGCAGCCCACTGCTTCGGAATCGTTATTCTCGACGTTTCCCTTCGTGCATTCGGATTCGCCTCTTCATTCTCATGGATCCGACCCGCTAGGAAGTTCGGCCTTATACGCGTTGTTTCGCTCTTCTTATGGGCGCCAATCAATTAGTTCCCCGGACACGAACGCTGATACTCAGAACTGGATCGTCAAGCAAGTTCGCTCCATGAGATACGAAGCTGTAAGTTGAAACTCTCACACGTTTCACACATAGCAAAATTTCTTCCATTTTGTTATTGTTATTATCACTGGAAGAAGTTGAATCCGAAAAACAGTTTTAACTTGTGAAAGAGTGGCTATTTTGCAAAGAGCTTTTTTTCCCCCCAATGAAAAGTTTGGCTGAATGGTTCCATACTTTAGTTTAGTTGAAATGTAGACTCTTTCACGGGATGCTTGTTGGTGGGCTTGTGGTTTTTATGGTTAAGATGGAATGCCGAATTCCTTATCATCAGTTTCTCCTGTCAAGTTTCTCTGGTCGGCCTCGCCCTGGATTTCGTCAAAAAATTTTAAGAGGAGTTTCGTTTTTTACTTTGCAAATAGATTGAAAATTTCTTTCGAGCCAATTTTATTTGGTGTTTCTTTTTCTTAAATACAGGGCTTCCGAATCCACATTGCATAGACTAATCTGGTATTTTTCTTGTTTTGCTGATGTTGTAGATGCCTTCTTTTTTTCGTCGATATGTCATTTCTGTCGAGTAAAGGGGGGAAAAAATTATTGAGTGGCGTAGTTAGGTAGATTTTACCTTTTCTTATTCCTTTTATCAATTTAATGAGCAGTTTCAGATTTAATCTGTTTTCTTGGATTACAACTCTTGTGATTTACAGGCTGCCAAAGCTTCTCATGGGACTTCGGCTGTGTCCGCAAGTTTTTCTTCTGCGTGGAATGACATCTGGGTGCGTCAACTTTTGCCTAGTCTTACCCCATTAACGTTGCCTATGCCAAACCAAACCAAAGCTAATGAACCAATGCAATGTGAGGTTTGCAAAATTGATTGCACAAACAAAGATGTTTTTGAAAAGCTCGTAACAGAAGAGAAGCACAGGAAGAATATGCAATTGCTAAATAGCCCCACCAATACAGCGATACCAGGAGCCTCTCATGCAAGTTTACAAAGTCAAATAAATAGGGTCCAAGGACAAGATTTATTTGGTGTGGTGAGCAAAGAGTTAGAGTCTAAGAAACAGAAGCTTGTGAGTGGCGGTGCAGCAGTTGATTCAGTAAGGGTTTGCACGATATGTAACGTCGCCTGCAATAGTCAAGATGTGTATAACAAACACCTATCTGGGAAAAAGCATGCTGCTCAGGTGAATTTTTGCTTTGAATAATCCTTTTTAACTCTTGATATTCGTTTTACTAGTAAGTGTTGGCTGCTGGGGACAGTGAAGTCTTGCTGTAAACACTGTTTCATAATTAGCCGTTTCTTGAGTGTCTTGTTCTTATTGTGAAAAGTTTCAGCTCATCTCCACTGATCTCTTTGTTTTTTTATTTTCCAAATGACTAGTATCTTTAACCCATGCCCATCAATCTTGACTCACTTGTACGTGTATTGGCTGGCCAAACTCCAAACGTTCTTTTCATCTGGAACTAATAACTCATAATTAGTTCCATATGGTAAAACTGTTGCGATTCTTTGCTCAATATTGAATTATTGATGCTCCAATTTAGTTAGCATGTGTTAAAAGCCCCTTAATGGGGGCAACCATGATCTCAAATGGTCATACATGATAGGGTGAAATACTTCTGCTGGTAATTTGGTTGAATTAAGTAATGCTTGTGGAGAGCGGTTGGCTATAATTGTACTATATTTTTTTCAACTCCTTTGAGAACCTTAGCATTGCTATCTACAACCATCAGATAATTTGAATTAGATGTTTGCAGCCTTGCTTGGTTTCTGTTTCAATTGCTCAATTACGTTTACTCCAAATACCGCACCTCATTTTGTTCTGTTGCATCTCTTACTGGATTTTTATTTGGCTTGCTATGTAGAAATGCAACAAAACTGTTATGGTTTATAAGAACGACTAGACGATTTCTACATTAACCGAGAACTTTTGTTCACTTTGCAGATTAGCTTGATGTCTGATAATGGTATTGGTTCTCATCTTGCCGCGTTTAAGCATCTTGGCATTGGTCCTTGGAAAAAAGGCCCAAAGAAAATTTCTACCCAACCTGCATGGTGCGAACTTTGCAAGATCAGTTGCAACAGCAGGGATGTATATATGACACACTTAGCTGGGAGGAAACACCTGAGGAACCTGGGGTTGCTCTCAAAATCAAATAATGCTTTGCAGCGCGCAACCAATCCAGTTGTTAGGCCCCAGGAAAGGCCAAACACTTGTGAAGATGAAGGGATAGATTCACAGAAGCCAAATAAAGCAGCCATGGTTGAGGATATTGAAGCAAAGAAACGTAAACTTATAAAAGGTGGGGCAGCAGAAACTGACATTAGAATATGCACTCTATGTAATGTGGTGTGCAACAGCCAAACGGTGTTCAATTTTCACCTTGCTGGGCAGAAGCATGCTGTAATGGTGAAGCTGATGATGCAGAAGCAGCCAGGGTCAAATTATATATATTCATAGCGAAGAGAGCTAGGGACAGAAACGTTTGGAGTTTGGAGGTCCCATGCATTATTGGAAGAATGACCATGATCCTATGAGGTTTCAGGCAAGAAAAATAATCACTCAAATGTCCCACAACAAATGTGCAATACGCAATGATAAGTTTTGGTACACAAAATAACAATGATTTATAATTTTACATTACTTGTTGTAAGATTTTTTAGTGATTATATTTCTTTCTTATAGTGATTTTCCCTACATTATTTTCAGCACTGGCAGAATAAGATGACTTGGCTGTTAACTGTGATTAGAGGCAAGTCCTACACGGGAAAAGGCAAGGCTTACGCTGCAGATCGATGGGAATGGAAATGCCTCTTTGTGATCTTATTGTCATTTCTACCACATGGGAAATTGGGGATACTGACCTTACAAAAGCCTTTATTTATTTTATGCAAAAAGTCAACGGTGCAGTTTAGCGCAGTTGGATCTTTCACGGATAATGTGACAAAAAGAAATTGTACTTTTCGAAATTTTGGACAATTAGTTGCATTGTCAAATTTTTGTTATCATTTTCGACTTCTCGTATTAAGCTACATGTTTATTATATTTTTCTATACTCAATATTTTAAGGATAATAATAAAGATATAAAAATTATATATAATTTATTATCATTAATACAGAAGTATATTTATCTCTCATGTACTATGGTACATGTTAATATTTTTAAATTTAATTAACTTGAACGCGCTTTTAAATGAAAAATTAAATTATGATAATTTAAACATAGGATAAAATTAAACGGCAATGACTTTCAATTTAAACAATTTTTAAATTCTTTGAAGGACTTTTTAACTTAATAAATTTTTTTTGCCAGAATAAAAATGAATAATTGATTTTTTTGCATAATTAGTTGGATGCCTTAGATAGTGTTTAAATTATATTCCTCCTATCTTTCAGGCTTATTTTGTAGTACAAATTGTATTATAAAATAGGTCTTAGATCTATGATAGAAGGATTTTAAACTTTAGTTCTAAATAAAAGTGATAAATCAATTAGATGTGAACAGAAACATGAATTTTTTTTTGTTACAAAGAGGACGGGATCGAACCCGCAACGCACACTCCTTACACACAAACTACTCGGTCAAGTGGAGAAACATGAATTTATTAGAATGAAATTATGGATCATTCTAAAAAAAAAGTTGATGAAATCCATTTAATGCTTCACTCTTGCACATCCGGCCCAAATAATTAGCCTTTTAAACAAGCCCAATCCGAAGATAATAAGCACCTAGCATCGCGTGTTCCTTCCTTTTCTTCCCATTTTCCATGCCAGCTCAAATAGAATGTCTTCGAACCTTGCCACGGGGGCTGCATTTTAAATTTTGAATCATTGTAATGGGATTGGGAGCATTGGACTAACCTTCGTATTTGCTTAATTTTTCTCCCAAGACGAATTATCTAATTCAGGTAACTAGCTCAGATTCCTACCGTTTCTGTTTCATGTCGATATATCAATGTATTCGGTGCTGATGAATGAGTTCGGAGTCGGTTTTTCTGAGGATTGAATCTTTAGGCGTACTTCCCAATTATATATCTACCAAATCCCCGGCAAGGGTTCTACTAAGTTCTTTCGTATGGGGCGATGAACATGAAAAACTAGTATTTGTTTAATCATGGGTCAAGCTAGCATTCTATCATTTTCTCCCTTATGTTATGTTTTCACCTGGAGAAAGTAGCTGAGGTAGTTAAGATTAGGTACTTTTAAGAAATTTGAAAATCAACTTCATTACTTGCAGAATCATGTTATGAATTTTTTTGTCTTCAGTTGCTAATCCATTTGACTGTTATATATCTTTAATCTTGGAAAAACTGTTGCGCGTTAGCTGTTGGTTGGTGTTTGTTCTTTCGTATGTACCACTACTCCCAAATTTAACGCGACTTATCTGTTAATAAACACCCATCATGTACTCCTCTCTAAGGCACTTGCGTCAGATTGCTTGCAGAAATGTCAAATAATTTCAGAAGTGACACCGATACTTCTTTTAACGCGGAGGAACTCTTGAAAATTAAAACAAGATGTAGAGAGGTACCGTTTCTACCCCTTTCGCTTCTTGCTACGCGGAATCAAATCATGTACCCTATTAGGAATGTGAAGTCACATAAGACTGGATGACTTTCATTCTGTGCTCGAGAGAACAGAACTCCTTACATGGGTTACTGATATTTAATCAAACTGGTTCGTCATATATATATATATATATATATATATATATATATTTGTTGACTGCTTTAACAAACTTTAATTGTGTGTCCTAAAAGAACAGAGCCCTTTTCCATGCTGTATGTAATTTATATATCATTTGAACTTTTTACTGATGTGGATTCTGTTTGACATGCAGCTTAGAAAAGAGAAGGACATGATAAATTGTTCACAATCCCAAATTTTTGAGCTACTCCGGGTACGTCACACCAGATTGAGTTCAAGCTATTATATTACATTATGTTTTATCAGGCATTTTACATATTTTTGTAGGGAGAGTGGGAATGTAACATTATGATCTGATACTAGTCTGATTTTGCCATTGATGCAGTAATAGAACTACATGAGAAGTCAGGCATTTTACATATTTTTGTAGGGAGAGTGGGAATGTAACATTATGATCTGATACTAGTCTGATTTTTGCCATTGATGCAGATAATAGAACTACATGAGAAGTCATTATTAGAGACTAGCATAAAAGATAAGACACACATACAGAGGTTGGAAGAAGAGCTATTGAACTGCTCTCAGGAAATAGGTAGTTTGTCATGTTTCTTAGCTTTAGATGCTCTTTGAATGGGTTCTTTCTATGAAAGTAATTAAAGCTCTTTCAGATTATTGATAGATGGAAAGTAGTCCATGTTGTCAATTCTGTTTTATTTATATGCATATAAGTTGCAAGTCTTTACTCTCATAAGTGAACCTTTTGTGCAACAGATGATTGCCGTCAATAACATATTTTTTTTCGTTCTTTTTGGCCAGCAAATTAAGTTGTAATAATCATCGATTTTCAATGAATTTGATTTATCTAGTAGGTTTTTTTTTTTGGAGGTTTTTACTCATTGGCTTTATTTGATCATACTCGATACAGATTACCTTAAGGATCAGCTTAATGGAAGGAACATGGAGGTCAAATACCTGCAAGAGCTTGTTTACAGCTTTAAACTGAAATAAAGGATATGGAAGGCTTACAAGATGAGGTTATCAGGTTAAAAGAGGAGCTGCAGAGATCCAGTTCTGAACAATTTTTCTTGTTGAAGGAATTAGTGACTAAAGAAATGGAATTGGAGAAGTCAACACTGTCCGTAGAGAAATTGAAGGAATCAATTTCATCCATGGCATTAGAGTCTGAATGTGAGGTAGAGTGCATGAAACTTGACATGATGGCCTTGGAGCAGAGTCACTTTGAGGCTAAGAAATACAAGAGGAAACTCTGGAGGAAAACACTAGAATGAGTAGATTGATTGGAGAGCTTCAATTTAAATTTCAGGAAGCCCAAAAAAATATTGTCTCTCTGAATGAGGAAAATAAGAAACTTAAAATAAGATTGATGCTGTCAATGTGAACACCGGAAATTTTTCTCAGAAGGTTGAAGAGTGGCTAGAAAAGAAGGACAGATCACAACTCAATGGTCAGTCTTCCTTGAGCGAACAAGAGAAGGGTTCAGACATATCAAAGGATATAAGGTATACAATGGAAGGTTTGGTTTTTCAACTAATCTGCATGTAACAAGTGTCCTGTTAAGTATGCTATCATAATTGTGTTATAATGGAAGGACAATGGTTTTCCTCTATGGTGGTGAGCTTGTGACTCTGGCAGTTTTGCTTGATCTTTTTTTTGATAGTTTCAGAATGAAATTGCCAATTTCTCTTCTTCAAGGGCATAAAATCAAATCGGGCGTCTCTTTCTACTTTCTTCTTCTTTCTTGCTAATGAATGTTCTCCCTTAAAAGAAGCACTGATTAGTAATATTTCAGAGCCACAGTGTCTTTACTTTTGTCATTAAGTGGATGCCTGATATTGTAAGCATTGAACTTATTACACTTTACTTAATTGCTCCTTTTACTCTTGTGAGATTGTATGTTTAAATGTCGGGATATAGATGATGGATTCTGAAAATTGAAGAAGTGCCTTGGTTTATTTGTAATTTTATTAGCCAAATAATGTTCCAGTTGGGTCCTAATTCCTATATATATGGTCTTCAATCATTTAATCTCAACTGTTGAATGTAATATCCATAAACGGCAAGCATACCAGGAAATATTCAACATGTCAATTTGGACACTAGTGTACAATTCCCGTGAGGAAATTTTTGTCATGTGATCTTCTTTGGCTGGCAGTTACTGATAATTTAGGTTCATAATTGAATTGTTTCCTTTAAATTATTTTAATTTGAACTTACTGAATTGAAGCATTCTTTCGCAAAATTTATGACAATATTTTCATGTATTTCCCAAGTGTTTATGGAGAAGTATTGGGTCCACTCCTTGGGAGGCTATCTTTGGCGTTGGAAACAGATGCAGATATTAAAGAGGAGATGCAGAAGATGTCACATCAGATGCAAAAGTATAAAACACTTGTGGAGAAACTTAAGGTGTGTACATTTATTGAAGCATAAAATATTGAAATGGTTGGCGTCTATTCCTGAAATACAAAAGTGAAAATACAGTGTACCTTTTTAATTGCGCAATTTGATCTACTCAAGTTTATTTAGAGCCTGGACATGTATATAGTGATTTCAAACTTTTTACTAGGAAGAATTAAGAGAAGAAAAGTTGAAGGCCAAAGAAGAAGCAGAGGACCTTGCTCAAGAAATGGCAGAGCTTAGATATCAAGTTACAGGTTTGTTAGAAGAAGAACGTAAGCATCGTGCTCGCATTGAACAGGCATCCTTGCAAAGAATTGCCGAGTTAGAAGCACAGGTATAATTGTAAACTCATGCCTCCTTTCTCTCGTCTATCAGAACTAATCCAAGAAAATGCGTGACTTTCATCCTTTTTTCTTTGCAATCAAGCTTCAAAGAGAACAGAGAAAATCTTTATTTGCTGTCCGCGGTCTCCCTGAAGTGTAGAAACTGGAATTATTCAAAGTTTTTCAAGTTCATCAGAAGAGACTCATCTTAGAGGTTTGTGCCTAGTTATATATTTGGAGCCCTTTTAATCCTTTCACGCGGTCTGTTTATGAATTGTTATTCTTTCTCAATGATGTATTGTTATTGTGCTGATTGTAATTGCCTTGCATAATATACTGCTGATAAAATTACTATATCGTGGACAGATGTACTGAAAGATGTAGGATGTCTTCTCATGTCTTGGTTCCTGGAGAAGAGAAATGAAGTGGCTGTACAGAAGAACTAGCTCGTGCGTGTCACAGTGTATTTTGTGATATGGGGTGCAAGAATTGATATAACACATTGAATTTTGTACAGATGCCTGCGATCTCTCTCTCTCTCTCTCTCTCTCTCTCTCTCTTCTTTCTTGCAATAGTCTTGATCAGGGTGGGAATGTCTGTTGTGAAGGATTGACTTTTAGGTCAAATTCTGTCATTTGAAATTTTGCTATTTTTTTATATTGGGCGTGAGCAACCTAGTATTGTGATGTTTTCAGTACGCCCTAGACGAATCGTAGGTCATGGCTTGAGCATAACAGTTGCTCTTGTAATTGTAAATTCATCTATTTATGTTTGGGTATAAAGATTTTTAGTATTTTAAATGCCTAAATTTGAGTTCAAATTCCCCCTCACTTATTCGCACCTCTATTTGGGTGTGTGGATAACTCTGTATGCACTCATGTACGTATTCTCGAGTGATTGGTATATTGAATTTTGCATATATTTATGTGAATATGTTATTAGATATTTTTGGTATTATACATCATTTCAAAAATCCTCATGCATTTTATGATTTGCAAATAGTATATTTGAGGTTGGCAAAAAAACGTAAATGATATAATTTCAGATAAAATTTTTATTTTTATTTTTTTTATAAAAGGACGAATTTTATTATAAATTTATATTAATATATTATGTGTGTGTGTGTATTCAATCATTCACCGATTTAAAATAGTAACTGGCCAAAAAAGTTATGTAAATAGCATAGGAAGTCAATGGCTGCAGCATGTTCTTTAATGGCTCGGAATTCTCTTTTGAAGAAGCAAATATAAAAATAAAATAAAACCAGAAATTTCCTCATACGTCACACGGATGTTTGGTGTTGTCAATCCAACGAAATAGGATAAATGAAAAATTATATATTAATTCATCCAAGGAGTTGACAAAGTGATACGGTTTTCGGTCTGAATCAAATGACTTCCAACATGGCCCATCCCAACAATTAAAGAGAAAAAAAATCATAAATGGCGTCCATGCTTGATTTATTCAAAACTCAAAAATGAAATCTAAACAACGCCAACGACGAATTCTGAGAGCGAATGTGATGTGTGGCCCCCATCCCAAAAAACACCCGCCGTGATTACCTAAGCTGCTTGGCCCTTCTCGAGTGCTTACGCAAATATATATAATATATATATATATATATATAAATATTGTGTACTCGCTCCACCCATCCTGGCTTCGTTGCAGTTTCCTACCCTCCCTCTTTTCTTGACGCGATTTTGCAAGGTTTCTACATTTGCCGGTTCTTTCAGTTGAAATAGTCCCTTTCCTTCTCCCATTTCTTGTTCTCCCTCTTGGGACTCGAAGGCTTTAAAATTGTTGGGTATTCACTTCTCCTCTCGTAGTTCTTTCGGTTTTTTCTTTCTGCACATTCGTTGGGTTTCTCCAGGTACTCATCTACTTTCTCTTCAACAATCATTGATTTCTGAGTGTTCTGTTACAGTATAAAGCCCATAAATTGTAGGACTCCTGATGGTTTTTATGATCACCTAATGGTCAACGTTGCTTCCTCTCTATCTCTGTTGATTGGAATTTGAAGCTATTATTGAAGCTTTTATAATTCTTTTCGTTATCCAAAGATTTTTCTTCGTTCATTCTCGGACGAGCTAAAGAGACCGAAGAGGTTGTCGAGTCCGTCGTCAGTTTATATAAGTTTTAACGCCTCTTTTTTCTCGTCGGCTTTGAGATTGTGTTAATGAATTCTTTCTGCAATTTGTGAATCCGTTAATCTTCGATATTTTAGTTCGTCGTCTTTTGACTTCCTTCTTAAGTAATTTTATTGAACGTACCCTTAGTTGATAAAGACTGGTTTTCTTTTATCCTAGGAAGACTAACTGATTCGTAATTAGCGCCTTGATAGTATGATATTTGCCTATTTGTCTACAATGACAGTGCATGAACAGTTCTTGCTTATTTTTGCAGGGAGAAATTGTTCTGCGTTCACGTTACTTAGGACACCGTTGTTTCTTGTTAAATTGATTTACCCCCTCACCTTGCTCTTCCTCTAACCAAATTCTGCAAAGTGTTCTTGCTTACTGCTTAGTGGTGACTTCGAGAGAATGTTTGGTTCTAAGAAATCTCCCTTGAAGTTCTCAAAACACAATTCTGTTGATCCTGTCTATCCTGTCCAATCAAAGTCAAACCCGTTTGATTCTGATGATTTGGCAAAGGACGGCAAAAATTATAATTCCTCTAGGAGGAGTTCTTCAGATCCTACCCTGGTAAACAAGGTCAAGACCAACCCTTTTGATGATTATGATGTAAATGGGAACTCTTCATTATCTTCCTATGCCCCTCGATCAGCAGACCGAAACAAGTATAAGAATGATTTTCGTGACTCAGGAGGAATAGAAAATCAGTCAGTGCAAGAATTGGAGAATTATGCTGTTTACAAGGCTGAGGAGACGACAAAATCAGTTAACAATTGTTTGAAGATAGCAGAGGATATGAGAGAGGATGCTACCAAGACTTTAGTCACCCTGCATCAACAAGGAGAGCAGATTACCAGGACTCACCATGTTGCCGTCGACATTGATCAGGATCTTAGTCGGGTACCACTCTGGTTTTAAAGAGTTATTTAGTGCATGCTTCAGTGTTCCTATATTGAGTGGCTTCTTGGTGTCCGTTTACCTAGACTATTGCTTCTTTTGCTATACAGCCTGCTGTAAAGTAACATTCTAATGATATTCTGGACTAAACTGCTTGAATGCCTTTTACAGGGAGAAAAGCTCTTGGGAAGCCTTGGTGGCATGTTTTCCAAAACTTGGAAACCAAAGAAGACACGCAACATAACTGGCCCTATTATATTTGGAGGTTTTATTCTTTTTCCCCTCCACTTACTTTATATGTATGTACGTGTATGTAACATATGCATGATATACTTCATAACACAGATGATCCAGTACGAAGAAAGGGCAGCCACTTGGAGCAGAGAGAGAAGTTGGGATTGAGTTCTGCACCAAGAGGGCAGTCAAAGTCCCGGACACCACCTCCTGAACCGACAGATGCCCTTCAAAAAGTTGAGGTTTGTATCATTCAGTGAACATTAACCTCTTGTCTAAAGCTAGCTGGGCGTGACAAAACTCAATTATCTTAAGGGCTCTTGATATGTTATAAATCTCTCTTGCAAAAATATGGGATTGGTGGATTCTTACTATAGCTTTTAGTTGCACTGGCCGATGACTCGTCCAGATAAGCATTCTTTATTAGCAACTACCGATATTCTGGCAATTTTGTTCATCTTACTCTGATTAACCCCATCAGTATGTAGTCTGTGTGTGTCCAACTTGGATAATGCCACTTCCATTTGTTATTTTCATCTTCTGTGATGATGTAAGGTTCCATAATTGGCTAATAAATAAACTGTCCTTAAACAGTTTGAGAAGGGGAAGCAAGATGATGCACTGTCAAATTTAAGTGATATCTTGGGAGAGCTGAAAGACATGGCTGTTGACATGGGATCCGAAATGGATAGGTTAGTTAAATATTCGTTTATTCTCCTATCTAATTTCACCTTCCAGTTGTTCTTGAGCACTAGAAGAAAATCTTTTGCCCTATCCTTGCGAAAATAAGCAACATTTTAAGCAACACTTCCAAAAATTCCCACAAAACAACTTTTAACGTGACTTGTCTATTGGTAATGTTGGTGCTGTTGCAGGCAAAACAAGGCCATTGATCATATGTACAATGATGTGGATGAGTTGAATTTCCGCATGAAAGGTGCTAACCAACGTGGCCGTCGTTTACTTGGAAAATAGGGGGCAGAGTTTCCATATTCATTTCCAGCTTCTCCTACTGCCTTATACTGATCCTTACTTTTCGCTGTTGTATTTTT